AAAGTCCGACGATAAAGAGACTTGAAATATTCACTACCTCATTCCGACAGCTAACTTTCTAATAATAAAGTGAAAAATCTGCATTCCACAACACCCCAAACCCCCAATATAGCCGATACGCAGAACCGTCTAACTCCTCATTTCATTTTCCAAACTTTTAATCTCAAAGTGCCCGTGAAAGAAAAATGGTAGCTTTAAGGAAATCGCCAGCGCCACCTATTATCAACTCCTGTAACTCATATAATTTTTCAACTTTGTTTTGTTCCTTAAAAAGCGACTTTATCCGAGTTATTTTAAGATTGAAATTTATTAGTCGCACCGTGGCGGTTACGCGGCGCTACGCGAGACGGATTGTTACAGAAGAGTCATAAAAAGTAAGATATTAATGTATCGCGGGAGGCATTAGACAGTCGCCGGATCGATTTCTATGCATAAAAAATGCTAATGGCCCAAGAGAGAGTACATTGTGCCGGCGTCGTTGATTTATGCGTGGAGTTTGGCGAACTATTCGCGCTCTGAAGGTGTTTCGCGAGGTACGAGATTATTCATTGAGTGAGCGCTGAAACTTCACGAATGCACTATTAATTAACAGACAATTGAGACATTAGTTTCTTCTTTTGTTTTTAGCCTTTGGTATATGTTATTTTACAAAATTGAGTTACTGCCAATTTCTTCAAAAAAACATCTTTATAATAGCCTTCCGTGGTTGGTATACGACCATTGACTATACCAATTGTCTTATTGTTCTATTCTAAGTGTATTATAAAAAGTGGTCTTGAACTTTTTAATAATTGGTATTTTGCAAATATGATTTTCGAGAACTAAGTAAACTTAAGGTTACACATAGATATCTAACGCTAAGCACTATTGTAAAAGGTTAGTTCATGTTCATTGTAAAGTAATTTTAGGGTACTCAATTAGTAGAACAACGCAGTACGCAGTTCGAGTATTGTCTGAGAGAATATTTTTAAACTAAAATTATATTCAAATGTATATGTGCCTTTGAAAGCGTAGTTGCCAATTTTATTGATGAATGGTATCGTATTCATTGACCGATTCCATAGCCCAATAGTTAAACGTGTTAGCAAGCTATGTGTTAAGCATGAGAGGTCCTGGGTTTGTCGTGAAATAATATTATTTCGTTAATTTAGGGCTGATCGATTGATCAATTTGTCTGCAAATGCAACAAATAAGATAAACTGACATTTTCCCATACTTTATATTGATTACGGGCCTTTACCATAGCCAAATTAACCCAAAACAGATACTTAGCCCATCTCTCAGCAATGTATATCCGTGGAAAGTTTCCAAATACTGCAGGTACAGTAGGTGCTGAGATTATTTATGAAAATCCCTGGCTAATACACAGATAAGCCGTAACAAATAAGCGCTTGAAGCGTGCCGTCCTCCGATACGGGCTGGCGTAGCGCCCGACCGCTATCAGCCTTGCTTTGCCAGCCGAGTATTGTTTCCGAATACTTGTATTTAATAAATAATACTCACTACTGTTTACTGCTTTAACGCTTCCGGTGGTGTCCGGATATAAGCTCAACTTTGGCCTATCTTGTAACGAACGAAATTGACTAATAAATGAAGTTAATTACTTATAGTATAACATGTTCGATTTTTGAAAACTTAAATATCGTTCACATGTCACTAACAGTGATGGTAGTATATAAATTAAAAATCGATTTAAGATTGAACAAATTTTACGACACGGATAGGACTTGAATCTGCATTCACAGCGGTCCGTGCTATTGCTCTAATCTACTATGTGAACTATGTGACACGGTAGATTTTTAACTTACACGTAAGATTAAAAAGATCACTATGACTAAATATTTTGGTCTGTCTAAATCTATTGTATATGTGGGTGGCACAGTTTTCGCGTTGATTAAATAGTAAAGTGGCATTAACTTAAAAAAATGTATAGCTTAAATTATTATTTTCCAACAGTGCAATAATCAAGTTTAACGTTAGCATTACATACATCGATTTTAACGCCATCTAGCGTCGAGTAGCTTATAACTCTAGAACTTTCGAAGTAGGAACATTATTCTTTATTTGAACAATATTTTTTTTGTTAAATACGTATAAATATTTATACTTATATCTTAATCTATAAAATTTATGAAGAATCGATACATCCCGATATTATAAGATTAGAACATAAAAGGACTAATTTAAACTAAGTACTATGCCAAAACTCTAAATTACTTAATAAAGTTTACATGACGGCAAACGAAATATATATTTTATAATACATATATACATCATACAAATGTATTCATTTATTTTAACTTCTTAATCCAAACAGACCTCCGCCACAAATCAAATTTATTTCAAATAATTAAAAAAATGCGACTTACCATCGTGATTATCTAAATCCGTCATTTATATTCCACACAGAAATTAAAAATATCCAAACAATAATTATTTGAGCGCAACCCGAGCGGTATAATCTTCGCAAACCGCTCCTCCGGTCACGTAGACCGAAATGGCGGAAAAAATATCTGTGTCGGACACCGATCGCGATACACAAACAGACGCGGTTTGAATATTTTAATGTTTATATTGTTTTATATTTAGTTTCGAGTGAACCCGTTTCACTCCGACCAAGATGCACGTACTGACATAATCTTTAAAATAAATCTCATTTAACGGTTTAAAACGCAAAATATACTTATTATAAATTTATTTTAACTTGACCCGACGTTTTGGGTGCTTTGCTGCACCTATGCTCACGGGGAAACATAAAAAAAAGATAACGAATATATTTCCCGTTTTAAACCCTGAAAAGTGTTTTATTTAAATACATTCTACTCATGAAACTACATACATACAATACGGTTTATATTTTACATACTTAATTGGGTTGTAGGACTATCGAAACTCCGTCCGCTGGGTAAGCCATCGTCTATGGATAGAAAAACCGACAAGTGTATACTCGCGATTCAGATTTCCTAATGTCCTGCAAAATATATAAATAAAAAAATTGTCCCTTAAATCCTATCCTTTAATTGTATCCGCTTAAAATCGTACGTGTATCTCTAACCCGGCGAACGCCGCTACCATTTTTATTGTCCTTGCGGTAAAAAATTTGCATATATAATTTTGTTTTACAGCTCAATACATTCGAGAGGTATTTGTGAGGTGTGGGGTGGTTTAATTTTTTCTCATAACGACCCTTCGCATTTTATAGCTAATAACATTTATTATTGATTGCGGGCATTTTTATATTACCCGGAATCGTGTCGTTATTGTCACGAACTCAATTTTACATTGTTTTTGTTTTTGTTTACCTGGAAATTTACGGTGAAAAAATCGTAATACAAGTTTTAAATAGCTTGCTTTAAAACTAGTACGTATCTGTGAAGATTGAAAATTATTTATTTTCTATTTTTAAGTATTTTAAATAACTTTTGATCTTAAATTCGATTGTTCAAAATGAGAATTTTATATACAATTAAATGTAAGTTATATTGTTCCCCAATAATTCGAAGGAATTACCGCTAGCAGAGTCAACCGTTCGGCGCTGTCAGGAGGTTTTCATCGGTTGAATTTATTGCTGTGCCGCGGTGACCACACGGTAGATGTTTTCGTGGGGTATAAGTTTAAGCGATATTTGTGTTACGTTTTGTCTTTCCCTTCCGTAGCTTACACTTGCTATGGCGTTCGTATACATTGTCATTTATACGAAAAGACTTTAGCTGCAATAATTATATTTTATCCTACCTTAATAAAAATTTTAATATAAAATGTACTTACTATTAAATTAAATAATTCGGATTAGTTAACAGTTTAGCAGCTCAATTTTATCGCATTAATCAGTTTCAATAAAATTTTAAGTGTATATGTTTATACCCATTTTAAAGTACTTTTTTATCTATATAACGTTAGTTTTTTAAATATAAAATCAGTTCTAGAATAATCTAATATTAGCGTAAAGGAAAGGATTAAAAATAAACGCGCTCCCCCCACACTATGACTGCGTCCTATCGGTCGGGGCAATAAAGACCAAGAGTATTCGCGAGGGTTAACTCACTTTTGTTTCTTTTCCATAATCACTGGTTAATGCAGTTCTCTTTGTAATCCTTCTTGATAATACACTGGCTTATAAATCTATAATGGCCTTTTATTTGCCATATTTTCGTAGAATTATCTCTGAATACCGTATTTGGTGTTCATTCGCGACTACAAGAGTGTATGCTTTTTTTATGTTATCGTATATTGTTTTTTTTATTCAATGAAAATTATTGCTACAAATACAAAATATTCGACCCTTCTTTACGACGACGGCTGTAAACAATAAAGACAAGGCCACTTAACAGTATAAATCTCTTCGTTTTAAACTGTTAAAAGTGTCCTTGTGCCGATGTACATTTTGATTGGACATCTTTCCCGATAGCTTATTTTATTTTGATACATAATATTAGAAAAAAATTGTGTTGTGTGTAAATGCAATTACAGTGTCAAGAAACAGGCAATCACGTGCCGATTTTAAAGCTACATTTTTTGAAATCTCATAGTTATAACACCGCCTCATCGTTGGCTAATTTCATAGACTGTGAGGAGAACTTTTTCAATTTCCTCCCATAGCCAGCATCAAACGATAACTGATTATGAAGAAACGAGATACCGGCACGTAATGAGGAATAAGGCGGGAAAGAATCATCACAGGCGGCGTTTGTTGTTTTATTGATTAAAAAACTTTGCTAATCATATTGCCTCTGAATAGTATGGTATCGTATTCTTTGAGATAAAATTGTTTTTCAATTTTCTTAAGCGTTTTGTTATGAGTTTCAATCAAAAGCTCAATACTACGTTACACTATACTAGTTATTCAATGAAATACTCTTAAATATACTGGAATTATCCGTCGAAAATCCACAAGTAGAATTGTAAGCTAATCTTACAATTCAACTCAAATTGTTTAAAATGATTTTTCTTAAACCTTTTACCATATAAGCTTAATATATATAATTTATTTGTCCTTTCAGAAGCTGCACTTCCTCTCGCCGCCGGCGTTCCCCGTAGAGCGAATTATCAGTAGCGAGTGCGGAACGCGACTGTGTGTTTGGGGCTCGCGCGGAGTGACAATCGCTGAATTGCCGACAAGATGGGGCCGCGGTGGACTCTTCGAATCCGGCAGTCAAACGATATTGTGCAAGTAAGTTTCTCATTAGAAAAATATAATATCTCTTATGTATTAAAATAATTTAGTAAAATCTATACTTTTATACACGAAAACACATCAAAAATTAAAGAAAAGTAATGTAAGCCAAAATGACGTGTTTGAATTACATGGAGAGTGCGTTATATCCCACTGCTTCTGTAGCCTAATCTACTTTGAGCTAGTAATGCCATCATTTAGAGAAGACAGTACTCTACGGATTGAACTTGGCAATTGGGTTATTTATGTTATTTCTATCTGTTAACATAACATCTATGTTCTATTCTTCTTTCTGTTCTGTATCTAGGAAATACTCTACACATTATTTTTTTATTAGATTTTTTTTCTCATATAGAGGAGGCCAGACATACATGGGATTCACTTGATGGGAGGTTAAATATCCCAGCCGTATAACGTCTATACAAGATGCGCTGTCCGCCTATGTTGGCTTTGGATATTCGGAAATTTACACACTGAAACCAAACGCGATTAAACTCTACGGCTTCTTCATCATTGGGCGGTGGATCGTGACTCGGACGGAATTTTCCATAGATGTTTTGGAAAAATTATAAATTTATTAGAGACAGCTGGATGCGATAGGGATCGAATCCGCGACCCGTTAGTTAGTAGTAGTAGACCAGCGAACCCGTAGATACTTACTACAAATAAAAAGGGAACAAATTCGTACTATTAAAATGACTACATATACTGAACTCGTCACTTCTCGCTGATATTACGAATAAACAGTTGTCCACTAAAGGCCGAACATAAAGGGTTTAACCTCATTACGAAACTAAACAGCTTGGATCTAATAACGTCTGATAAGTTAGCAAGAAAGCAAGCACGTAAGCATCGTGTATTTTCTACTATCACGGTAAATTTTGTTACCTATTAAGCTCCTCGAAGCGGCTATAATGTTAGCCTGAGGTAACGATTAAGTCAAAGATTATCTTATAGATCATCCGGGCGCAGATGTGTCAATAAGTATGAAGTGAGGCGCCATAAGAATAAGAAGTGTTTGTAGGCGGGTAATACACATTAAAAAAAATAATGGTAGCTAAGGTTAATTATTATATTTCGCGTTTTACACCGTTGAAAGTGTTTAATTTTAACCATAAGAATAATAAATATATAAAAGACCGCGATACACATTATGTCTAAGTTAGATATACTGATATAAGAGATGTCATCTATTTAGAGTTTAGACGAACTTTACAATGCCAATGAAAAACAATCTTTTTCTGATAAAGATTTGAATTTCAGCTTCGATAAAAATATTTGCTACCTCCTGAGTGATGCTAAGCGGATAGGTAATCGCGTCTGCCCCTCGTTTAGTCTATATCTCAGCGAGCTCGAGTCACCACTCTTTTGTACATGTTATTAGGCGGGTATATCTTGAAATTTGCATATTTCGGCAGTAAAATTAATTCGAAGATTTGCCCGCATCCACCGGCAGACGCCCCGTCTTGGGGTGAAATGTTTTTGGATTTGTGCATTCGCTCCAACTTTGCCGATACGGATTGTGGGACTTTGTTTTCGTTATTCAATTATTTGTTACATGCAATTTCGTTGATGTTTTTAAAACGACGGACTGTAAGAGTAAGCCCGTATTTTCAGTATAATGAAGTTGAAAAGTTATTTTTTTTAGTAATTAAGAATAATATTTAAAAAATTACAACTTGAAATTTACACCCTCTAGACTTTCAAACCAAGAGTGTAGAATTAACGAGAACAGCAATCTGATCGCCATTTCATTTATTCCAAACACTAAACACGTTAATAAATTATTTTAATAATTCAGCTTCGATACTTAAATACAACAATTTACTATACTATGATTTTAGTAAACTAAACATATCCGTATTTTTATATTTTTCAAGTAACTTTGTCATCTAAAGTATGCAGTAAACAGAGGCTCAAATTCAAAAGCGAAGATAATAATAATGTCCACAAGCAAAATAGGTCGACATTGCACCTACCATCAAGTTTACCCCATGCTATACATTGAATTTTTTAACCCTTTGCACGTAAAATAAAAAAAAATGTTTTAATGGTCTTTAACTATTTTATATTGTTATGCAATTAAGACAATGCGTCTTGTTTCTCTTAGCAACGCAGTACAGCGCGATGTAAAACGCGCCTCCCAACTTATGTTAATAGCCGTAAAAGGCGCTTCGCAATAATCCCTACAACTAATATTAGCAATAAACAGCCCCTTTCGACTAATTATGTTAAGATTCTACGGTTGAACTTAGTCTGAGACGCTCGGAAACTTGCATCGCGAGTGTTTTTATGGCGTTCTACGAACAAGTTTGAGTATTGCTCGCATGTTTCCCATAACAAATTATGTTTATAGGACAGTAGGCAGATAATTCGAAGCTGGTATTGATTCGTGGAAACATAATTTAATGCCTTGAGTGCCACATGCCGCGCTCTTAAAAATAAATAAAATAAAAAATCGTTTAACAACAAACAGTTGCCCACAAAAAATATAAATTAACTAATTTTCTAAATATACAAGGCTTAAAAGATTAACAATGGCAACTCCTAAAACAGGAGTCACTCAACATAATACTACGAACACGTTTGCATTGCTATACTGATTTTCAGTGGCCCCTGGCGCCACCACTCCTACAGTAACAACTAACAAAAATGTGTTAAAAACTAGCTGTTCTCACATGAAACAAAAATTCAAGAACCTGCTTAAATTCAGTCGATAGTCTGAATCCTAGCAGTGCGATTTTGTGACTTAGGTTAGCATTACCGGCCTCTTACTTTCGAAATGCACTCCGAATAATACTTAAAATAATGTGTCGTATACAAATTTATAAATTTAGATACTGAGCAACACCAAGTCTTCAATTCAAAGGTAATTATTGTCGCAGACGGACGTTAAACAGGATCCTATGTAAATAGGAAACATCGCCCGGGAATTGAACTGGCGTACGAATTGTTTCTTGTTTAGCTGTTGGTATTCGATTGTTGGGTTGCAAATAAAAAGGTAATTAAAATTACTTTGACGGTCGTGATACAATACTTGTTTGCGAGTTTTAAAGAGATCTTATTTCACAAATGTAAACGAAACGTCGGCCCGTAGTTAAAAATATTTTCAAATAAGCTTAACTATTATATATCGCGGTTTAAACCGTTCAACTTTTCACTTAAAGATGTTAAATGGAATTATCTTGGTTAGGGCTGAATTAGCTTTGGATAAACCACTAAAAGGACTCAAAATCCTTGAAAAGAATAAACTCTATTATTAGTCCTTCCTAACTGACTTTACTTGACACGAAATCAAAAGATCAAATACCACTGAAAACCCACTATAAACCACAAGGGTAACGTCAAACGTCACTACCAAAACTATCCCAAACATTGCCTTAACATAACCGAAATGCAAACATTCAAAGATCAATAGATATCGTCATAATCCTTTGACCACAACCAAATGATCCTGTAAGACTCAATTACGGGTAACCCTGATTTACCCGACCGATCCAATTTATAAACCTTACCCGATCGGAGACAAATAAGCAATTACGAATATGCACCTTAATCCATTGATATAAGGGTCACCTAAATTGACAGTCACCTTCGATATTGCCAAGTCATGCGAGTGATGACCGCTCGTGAATCTATATTCATTCTAAACCCGCTCTTATTAGTATAGTGTTTAGGTGAAGAATTGCGTACATATTTTGCAGTATAGAAATGTTCGGCTTCCAATTACAGGCCACGAACTATTTTATCTAACGCCCGTGACAACGGTAATCTTATTAGGATCTATCGGAATTGAAAACGTGGTTAGATAATACGGAGGGATTGGGGTTAGCTGTCTTTTCTTGGGACGATTATAAATTGCTTCAATAAATTCGACATTATATAAAGTTTACTATTCGCAAGAGAGAATTCGTTTATATGTCTGTAAAAGAAAAATAATATTGCTTTGCATATAGCTATTTAATAAAACACTTTTATCGGTTTTAATCGCCAAGTTTGGCAGCGTTATCACAGCTGCTTCGGAGCATCCGAGGAGTCGGACCGTAACATAAATTAACTAATATATTTCGCGTTGTAAACCGTTAAAAGTGCTTTAATTAGCTAATACGTTGTAATAATAGTTCATATAATGGTACTGGAATTCACAGAAATCTTGTTCCACTACTTAACGCAAATCTAAAAAAAATACATATTTCACGACTTATGTCGCCAAAAATCATAGATCCCTTTTTTGAGAATTGCCCCCGGTCCCAACGTATCTCTCTAAATCTCACCGATCGAGATTGATTCCGGGGTGATTCCGGACTTGCTTAAACCAATTTGGCGTTTAATCCGCGCCGTGAATCGAGTATTAGGGATACGAGCCGACGCCTTCAGGACCCATATATTAATTGACTCGTGGTCTTACTTATTGGGTACGGGGATTTTGTTGGATGTTTTAATGGCAGTTCGGCGAACACCTTTTAGAAAGCTCTTACAAAATAAATACACCATTTATCAGACAATGTTTAATCAGTATAATGAGATTTAAAGAAAACAATGTTAACGCATATTTCGTGATGAAGTACAATTATCATAATAGACAAAATTTATGTGTAAAAAACTACGATTCTTCAGATGAATTGTTTGTTTTTACGAAGTTTCAACTAATAGAATAATCAAGCGCATGACAAATTATTTTATTTGCAGTAATACGTCCTAAATTTTTTAATTAAAACACTTTAACGGTTTAAAACGCGATATATTTCAGTTAAACTTGTTTGAAAATTATTTATAACTACGGCCCGACGTTTCGGCTGCTTTGCAGCTGCCGTGGTCACGAGGAGACTAAAGATGGAGGATGTCTCTGACGTCAAAGTAAAAATTGCTACGCTACCGCCATCTGTTCCGTCGAAGTTGGTATTTCTTTATTATTAAAAATAATTTTCAAACAAGTTTAACTAAAATACATCGCGTTTTAAACGGTTAGTGTTTTATTTAAATGTATTTACTAAATC